ATATAGTTACCGCAGCAGTTTTCAGTACCCTTTCCTTGTACGCAGCACTCCCGTGCCTGCCAGATTTTTTTTGTTCAACCATACTTTATGAATGCTTTCGTGCGGTCGTTTGCATGTGTGCGTGCGTGTGTGTGTGTAACTATACACCCCCTCGGCCATGGTCATGCCCGTCACAGGCAAATGTATTGCACATGTCAACATGACATATACGCATTCACAGCGCAGTGCGGAATCTATCGAACAACTCTCTACTCTAACACGGTTGTGTTTGGATATTTCGCGGCAGCCGGCAGGAAACCGCTATAAGTTGTCAGGAGAGCCAAGCAGTCAATATATTAAATGCCAATCTAAGTTGTGCACCACTATAGCTATATCGTGCGAGGAAAATCTTATACGATGTTCTTCTCCATATTGCAGGTGCCAGCCGTTGAAACTGGACTCGCACCGCACTGAAGACATCGGCACATTTGTTTTTTTCATCGAATGCGCGCCTTTGCACTTAGTTTCAGTAGTCTTCAAGGGGCGTGTGCGATAGGTTCAAGCACAGCCACAATGCGATGTTTGAAGTTTGCACCTGACCAGCTATAGGTTGGGCTTCGCTTCCTTTCTTTATTAATATTTCTAATCGTAATGCTATGTATTCCTAAATAGCTAAAAAAAAGCTACTTATGTGGAACTACGAGTTATACGTCAGTGCACCTTGGACTCACCAGAATTCATTTGCATTGAATTCCAATCCAATAACTACAAATAAAAAAAAAAGCCGCAGATAGCACAATTTTACTTCGCGAGATGGATGGCTCGAAAAAATTTGCGCACAAGGTTCGAATGCGTGATTGACTAATGCATATTTTCCTTGTGAACATTGAGGCAAATTAGTTCATGTATACAGGCCGATGTGGACAGTTTGAAATAAATTAGGCAAATCACTTTGTAACGTACGTCCATATGAAATAAACTGTGAGAATGGGATGGTGCCATGTAGGATCAACATTTTGTTTTTATGTCGTTTGTAGCTATCAAATCGGTAACAGAAGTCCGAATTTAATTTTCTCAGCTTAGTAATCCGGGTGATCCTGATTGGTGCCTTCTTTTGGGTTACCTCGCGGTAACCATCTCCGTGTAATATTTGTTGATCACAGATGAAGTAGCGCAATATTTACACAGAGAGGAGAGCGGAGAAAAGGTGAAAGGTGCCTAATGAGCAGGAAAAAAAAATAGCACAGCGTGTGTGAAAAGCGGTTGGCGCCGGAAAACGACAGTGAACACGTTTAGAATAATGAATACGGATGGCAGCAACATTTTCTGACACCCAAAGGCGTTTGTGGCCTAAGCATTGCTGCAGCTGCGCGTGTGAGTTATAATCACCTTCTTTTGTTATGTATTATTTCCACATTTAGCTGCTGTAGCTGACTGTGGTCTGTGTGGTGGTGTTGCAATAAACTATCACAATCATAAGCGTGCGCAGGGGGCTTCCCTACAGTTAGAACAAATATCGTCACAGCGGCCCCCTCATGTCAATGTATGGGGTAAACACTGCGCCCCACCACAATCTTAGGTGACCCGGCGGAAGGGCGCCTATTTTGCCCCCCCCCCCCCCCTCTCTCCGCCATGTGCGCACGCATATGATGATCATCGTGGCGGCACGAGCTTTCTTGCTCTTCATATTTCCTAACACGTACCTGCGCTTGGAGCACGCTCTCCCACTCTGCCGCTTTCACGACCTAGAGAACGTGTACCGAGAGAGAGAGAGGAGATGAAAATAAAGAGATAGAAAAAGAAGCGAAAGACAGACGCACAAAGGATCGAAGGATATAAACGGACAGAGAAAGAATGAAGAGAAAGGGTAGGGGAGCGTCGACGTAAGATCACGTAACACTATAGTCACGTTACATGCCCCCCCGTTCCCACCGAAAGCTCGCAACGTAGTCACGTGACGTAAAATGGCGTGACACTGCAGCCACGTATAGGATGACATGTTTCCCGCCAAACCGACGTCGTTGAAGTCGAGGATTGCACGCGGGCCTGGGAAGGCAGCCGCTTCCCCGAGAGTCCGCGCTCCCCTCTTGCCTCCAGTCAGCTTCTTTCGCTGCCGTCTCACTCCAACGTTGGTTCGCTCTTCGTAGGGCGGAACTGCCCCAATTTCTAATGCCATCGCTTAAGGTCGCCGCGCCGTCGTTTATGCTGCAGTAGCTTGGCGTAACGCGGGCAGAACCACAATGTAGAGCACAACCATTTGAGTGCGATCTCTCACCAAAGAGTAGCCTTCTTACCGTTATACTTCAAGCGCCTCGATCCTGATGTTAACATGGGCAGAACCATATCGATCACTCCAGCACGTGATCTTATCTTAAAGTCTTTTTTCCACTTGTTATTTTCGAGAATCTTGACGATGATATAAATAAATAGAAATAGAGATAAAAAACACAGAATAGACTTAAAAAGAGACAAAGAAAGAGATGAGGATAAAAGCGAAAACCCGAAGAGCAAAAGAAAAAAAAAAAGCTGTCGAGTTCCGCACTCGCTTCTTCAGCTTTGGCTTTCTTGAGTGCAAGCGCCCGCAGAAAACCACAGGTAGGTATGCACTAGAAAACCTGGCCAAGCCCCACTATCGAGTACAGCTGAAGCCAGCGCTGAATGAAAACTGCGGCGATGTGGAGCATGTAAAACGCGTGGGAAAGACAGAAATAAAGCGTTAAAAAAAAACAATAGAGGGAAACAACTGGAATAAAAACATAAAAAAGAGAGACAGAAAGAGAATGAGAAAGAAAAAGATAGAAACAGGCACGAAAAAATAAAAAAAATACAGAGAACAAGAAAAAAAAAAGCGATGACACTGCTGCGCATCATATTGTTCGCCACCAGGGAGCCTCCATGTGCCCTCGCCAGAGGCGGCGCGCAACGTGAACGCGGCAACGCACGAACGTGTGGTTGTCTCGAAGACACGCATCGCAATAACGTACGTACATTGTCTTAGTTCGCAATAGCGGATGATTCGTTATAAGCAGTAGGCGAAGTAGTACGATTAAGTATTTCGTCAGTAAGCTCTTTACGATTAAAGGTAGTGCTTTCGCAGTAAGCGAACGTTCGTTCTAGGCGAGGCATGCATGTTGGACGATTGTAAAACCATTTGTTTTGCGAAAAGGGTTTCGCTGTATATAGAATAATTATTTCGTGCGAAACATTGAGTCAAAGGTGAACATTTGGCGAAAGTGTGCCTGGTGTTGGGATAGGAATGAGGCAATTAGAAAAGTCCAACCAAAACTTGTTATCAGAAACACGACGTTTCGAAGCCAGACGTCGGCTTCCTTCAGGGGTGAGAAATTCAGAGATGTGTGGCACTTATATACGCATGCTCTCCTTGCGCGAGAGGTTCGCCGCGACCTGTCGCAAACCCTGGAAGTAGAGAGATGGCAACGTCCTGGTGGAACGGTGAGCAGAACGCTTTAACTTAAGCTAATTCGCGAAATATTGGAGGAACGCCGCATTACATGAACTCCTAGCTTTGACGTCTTCAAAGATGTATATGTTCATTTTTCACTATCAATTCAATTATTTTCAATAATATAGGTAGGAAAGCAGGAAATGCATAGCAAATAACACGTCTCTATCCACCGTTTATGTTCATGTGTGCGCTTAACCTGAGGGCGGCACACTAATTAAGACTGTGCCCCAACCCCCTTCCGAAAATTTTGCCCTACGCCCTTGCGCGTATGGTTCATTATAATTGACCCGCACTGCATGACCACACAACAGGGCAATGTACGGAAGCAAACGTCATTTATATAGCTCTGAAAAACATTTAACATTTCACATTAACAATAGTCACAATGAAACCGTTGCACACGTGTTAATTGTTTCACTTAAAATGTGTTGCTCGAAATCTACATGGCATATACAAAGAAATTCGGCTTTTGTTCGGGACATATCATAGGTGCATTCAAAGGAGACAGAAACAAATTTACATGGCATTTATGTATATGTGTATAGATATATATATATATATTGCACACCCAACACCACATGAGCTAATTAACACATATTGATTATGATTCACTTCCTTAACAGCAACTTTGTCCATAAACACAAAAGATAACACTCCATATCAGCACATTTGAATTGAGCGAGTAATCATTCGCTATTGTGAGTAAATTAATTCTGCGGCATATATAAAATTAAAATATTTATATTTTTCTTCCGGCTACCTTTTTTTCTGTAGAAGAGCCTGTATTTGTTCACTGAGCCACTCTAGGCCTTCTTGCAAACCTTCACCAGTCAGTGCATTGCTCGCACAAATGTGCCACGGCTTCGTTTTCAGCACATCCAATCCCAGCGCCTGGCTTACTTTCACACTAGACAAAGCTTCCTTGAGGTCCATTTTGTTGGCGAAAAACAAAATCGGCACCGGGCGATCCTTGAAATCCTTGTGCTGTAGCATCATGTCCAGTTCATCCTTGGCCACGACCATCCTGAGTGCGTCCGTACTATCCACGACGAATATTATTCCATCCGTGTCTTTGTAGTAGTGCTCCCAGAGATTACGGTACCTTCCCTGGCCGGACATGTCAAAAGCCGTGAGCGCCAAATTCTTCATCTTGAAGGAGTCCACGTTGAAGCCCACCGTAGGCACAATGTCCATCGCTTTCTGGTCGTCGGGCTTGAAATGATTTAAAATAGTGCTCTTACCACTGTTGTCTAAGCCGACCACCAAAACACTGGCGTGCTTCTTCTTCAAGCCGAGAAAACTGACGAGCTTGTCGAAGAAGCCCATATTTCGCATGCACTCCGTCTTGTGACGAGGGTTTTATTTCGCCCGGAGCCGTCGCAATACGGTGACCTGTGGCCTCTATCGAAAAAAAAAAAAAAATGTGGGAAAAGAACTCGCCGGCGTGGCACAGCCGTTTGTGTACAAACAAACATTCAGTTGCTACGCGACGATGCCTTCCCATAATGCTCCATAAAAGTCGCTGGTGCTGCCCTCTAATAAACTTCAACAACGAGTTCACAGCCACTCTAAGCATGGCGATTATTTATAGGTGGCCGATGTGCTACGAGATTTATTTCGTGTAAAAGATGTCACGGTGGTTGTGTTGAACGTTGGGACAAACATCGGGGCCCGTCGGCTGAAGTAGCACAGCGTGGTGCGTGAAAGATGGCGTGAAAGGAAGTGCAGTACAGTGGGAAAATGCTCGGACGATGCACCTTGTCGTTCTACGGGAAAAATCATAGCATTGATCTATTTTTCATGACTTTGTGGACGTAGAATGGCAGCTCTGTTTAGTCGTAGTGTCCTGAAGGTTTCGGTTGCTCAGATATGTCAAAACATCGGCTGGCACGCCGTGCATCAGTCGACTTTGGAGTTGCTCGCTGACATACTTCATCGCTATGTACTTGAAATCGCCCGGACAGCGCAAGCCTATTCAAACCAAGGTGAGCACGGTCGCTAGCTACTCAGAAATACCCCGGAAACACCCTTCGCGTGTATTGCTAACTAAACCTGCTCCAAGTAGCGCTTCGTTTTTGTGCTTGCTTCCAAGACCTGCCGACGATGCTGTCGTGCGTGTAACCGCGTGTCATTGTTTTGCTGCACAATTTGGGAGCATTGCGAGCGCATTTAAACTTGGTTGTACAACGACGTTGGCGTGAAAACGGCGATATTGCAGCGCGCGTTCTGATATCCTGATGTCTTGCATTCAAAACCACGTCCCGTGTTAAGTAGCTGTGTTAAGATAGTAGCGCTTTCTCCAAGGAATGAGCGCGCCTTTTGTATCTGTTTCCTCGACCTTAGCTGTCTCTACGGTAGCTAACGCGTCCAATCTGATTTTCGTAGTAAACAAGAACATTTTCTAACGTGGTTTCGGATTCTGTTACCTTCACAGAAAAGGTGTTCAATAGTTTCGGCTTGCAGTCGAAACATGCAATATTTAACGGAGCTGTGCAACAGCCCCGAATCGGCACAAATGCAACTGTGCGAGATCTAGCCTCTGAATCTCTGCACCAGCCGTAAATCAGCTATCGTTTCTTGAGTCAGCAATTTGTTGTGTAGGCTTTTAAAAAGCCTCTCGACTCCAATCGGTCATATTGTTATAAATTTCACATTGCCAAATGTACTGCATTCCAGCACTTATGCTTGAATGTCAGGGCAGGAACTTAGATTTACTTATTGTTTCTTTTTCTTCTTGAAATGTAAGGCACATGTGTATATTGTCATATAAAGTTTCCATACAGTTTCAGCTTTGTTGACGTCAAAACCAAATACTAGGTTTTAGTAGGTCACATTCTGCGAAACTCGCGGAGTTTAAAGTCGGTGCAATACCATCTTTTTTCTTTTTGCTAAAGAAAGGAACAGTGATGAAAAAGCTATAGTACGCCAAGTATATTGGTGAAACGGTCGACTCGGTCAGACGATAAGAAAGGACAATTGGCAGAACAAAAATAAAGTTTATGTTCTAAAGATGTTGCCTACACAGTTTCAAGAACACAGATAGTGAAGTGCATCTTATTCCTAGCAAGCAGTTTGACCAACTTGAAACACTTTAATTGACAGTGCAATGCATTGAAAACAAGTGCAATGAAGAAAAGAAACGAGAATTACGATTGCCTTACCGCCTAACTATACAGAAACTGAAAATACATAAAATACATTAAATAAAAAAGTTGCCACAGAAACATTTCAGGCAGTTCCTGTGATGATGTGATCGCTGTAGTGCCTGCTTTGTCTTGTTACAAGATATTTATCAACAAAGGTAGACAATGTTGAATCATTTGTTGTGCGCAAGTTGTGCGACAAGGTACAGTACTGGATTGTGAGAACTGTGCGCAACTGTGTTTGTTTTAAGAGTGGCAGCTATTTAAATGCGCTGTCTTTCCTTTGTAAATGTAGTTGATAGCACCATGTAATGTAGTAAAGGCATTACTGCAATTCTGTCTCAAATGTGACACCCTTCTATGGACTCCCTTTGCGGTATCCTATTGTTCAAAAGAGTTCCTGGTGGGTACTTTGTCTATAATCAGTTGATTAATCGGGACATTTTATGCTTGATAGTACAAGAAATGAAAAAAAAAGATGTTTGGACTGATATCTTTATGTGGGCAGTGGTTGGTCCAATACAAAAAACAAACGAACTTGGGCAGGCAAACTACAAGTGTATAGCACACATATATGCACACACATCATCCACACATGCTTATACATATCTATAAACATGCACACTTAAATAAAGGCCCTGTCTTTTAGGAGGTCACTATTTTTTTTCTCTAAGAAAATTTGGCATGTATTGGAGCTTGCTTCTCCTACATCTCCAATTCTTTGAAATTCAGTGTTTCATTATGCATTATAAATTGTTTAGTCTTTTTATTATTTTTATTCCCTATGAAAAAGTGTTGCACTATTGCTAATTCAGTTTTTTTATCCTTTCATTTTTTCCTCACTTCTTTTGTTTATTTACCTTGACTGTTGATGTACAGTGCTGTAAACTCGTCAAAGTGTACCTTTGGAGGGAGCAGGTGCTAGTGAAGTGGCTTCACAGCTTTCTCCCAGCCTCCCACATCATCTTGATGAGAAATAAAGGACCTGTTATTATTATTATTATTATTATTATTATTATTATTATTATTATTATTATTATTATTATTATTATTATTATTATTACAATAACAAAATCTTAGATTAAATATGTGAACATGAAAACATGTAAACACACAAAGTGTATTTTAGATGTCTGGAAAGTTTGAATGTGCAAACACATGCATACAAGCACAAATGCTTGAATATGTAACACTTATGTTTATGCTTATCACAACTTTATAGCTTGTTGGTACAGTAGACGGAAGCGGACATTACAAGGTCGCTGCTGCTGATAGAGTTGCGCACTTTTGAATTGATGATTGTCAGCTTTGAAAATGCTCTTTGAAAATCGGAGCTTGTTGGATAAATCCTGAATGTCAAAAATTTCACCGGCGAGTGCTTATCAGATTTTTCCAGATTCATCCAAGAAAAAAGGAGCCCTAACTATAATACAAAGTAAAAGTAAGGTCTAAGCATGGCCCCTGAGAAGCACATATGTTTATAGGCCTTGCCTAAATAAAAGAAACGACTTTCATGCCAGCTCAAATTATTTGTTGCATTTATCGTAATGATTAGCAGTAGCTCTATTCAACGTGTGGTACCCCTTTGCCAAAGACTTGCAATGCAAACTGAGAACAAGAGGACAGGATAGGGCGCCCTATCGTGTCATCTCTCGTTTTCTTGACAGTTTGTGCCACAAGTCTTCCATTAAGGAGGCCATGATACGGTCACCCAACAATTCGTGGTTTTCACCAAAAAGTGGAAGAAACTATTGTACCTATACATGTATGGAATATGCACTGTATAGAAATATTTCAGTATGAAATAATCCCTAAAAGTCGCCGGCTATAAACATTGCCCATTAGTGACTACCGCCATTTTAGCACTGCATGTGTGACGTATGTACAGCATGCAGTGAATCGGCCGTCTCCTACCAAAGTTGCAGTCACTGCAGATTGATTCACTTTCAGTGCCAAGCTGTAGAAAGCCGACATTAGTGCATGCACAGCGGACCAGGGAACAAGATAGTTTGCTGGAATGCAACTGCTCGCAGAGCAAGCGGCTTGTTACGTCACAGCTTGCGAGTGTACCAATGCTGCCCAACTCTTAGTATGCTCGTGTGTTTATAAAAGATATTCAGTTATGATCGAGTGCCTGACCAAATGCTCGAAAATTTCTCCAGCTTGCTCGTGAACACACAAGTATTAACCCGCATGATAAGGATTCTGATCAAAAATTGGGTTTCATGGCTCCTTAAAAAGTGTGCACCGACTCACCCAACGTTACTCTGCTAAAGACCTCTCGGTGCTTATTGCAGATGGGCGAACTGAGCCCAACTTGGATGATCTGTCGCTAGCGTTCAGTCACTTGGGTATCCTGCTGAACGAACTTGAAGAGTACATCAACAACGTCGAGCCCGTGGCGTTTGCCAAGAGGGTACCTCAGTTTCCGGTCGCTCGGCCCACGAACCTGCTGCACCCCAAACCTGGCAGCCGAGAGCTGCTGCAGAGGCCGGAGTGGGTGCACGAGTTCTTTCCCCCTATGCACCCTGAGCTCGAAGGTGAGTCTGTTTTAATCTTGTATGAAACAAGGTCTCAAAGCCAGCCAGATTGTAACGGTAGTGTGGAATAGTACGGGCACAATTTCAAGAGATTTAATTAGTTGGTGTGACCAGCTAGTTTAATCCCATAACTGTTTTGTTTCTTTGTGTTTTTCTGTCTAAAAAGTTTTTTTTTTCAACAACATATTGAGTATTCTGCTTCTAAAGAGCATGTTTTGATTGAAGAAAAAAAATTCAAGTGTGTATTAAGTTGAAATAGCGTAACGAAGGTTATTGTACGTGGCCTACTACTGTCTTTCACGATTTGTGAAATAATGTCATTGTCAGAGAAGTGGCAAATATAACACATCAGGGCATCAAATTAAACTTCGCTATCTGAATAATTGGCGCCTGAACAGCTGTGCAATGAGGAGAGGATTTTTTTTTTTTGCACAAGGTTGCATCAGCACATTCGTTGCCTTCTCTAGACAACATTTCTAAGCACAAGTCACAAAAAATGTATAATGGTTGTTAAAATAAATTGCCTAGCAAGTGCTGTCATCTTTAAAATTACACACGAGCTAGCTTGGAAACGAGCAATGCTTGTTCAAATTGCTTATGGAGAGATTTTATCTCTAGTGGACGAGCCACACTGGTCTAAAATAGTCTAGGCACAGTTTAGTAAGGACGAGCTGTGTTTGTCCAAAATTTATGGTTGAAGGCGTACTGACACAAGATTTTGTGGCTGAGATAGCCTACGGGATCAATTCCCGTGAAAATGCTTATTTCATCGACCAATATCTCAACAGTGAATATAGCTATGAAGACAGTTTATATGAATTTTCAAGTTCACACTCGTGATTCAGTTCTGCATGCGATACCTTATGACAGTGGCATCTAAGGTTACCAGAAGGTGACCCCCAACTTCAAAGACGTCAGTACTGTGGGAGAGCTTCAAGCTGGCACTCATAGTAGGATGACGTTATAGTGCTGAAGTAATGCATGTGGTTGGGCTAGTTGGTTAATACATTTTGAAGACATATTTAAAACGTGTGAAGAAAACAATGCGTTAGACACAGTATGATTGCACACAAAGCGCAATCACACAATCACACACTTTGCGCTTTGTTTGTGATGATTCTATTTGTCTAACGTGTTGTCTTCATGCAGTTTAAATATGTCTTCGAAGTCATAGTGCCTTTGCTGCACTTGTGCCAGCTGGCTGCTTGGAAGTCCATGCCTGCGACGATTGTGAGGGAGGTGTAGAGGCCTCAAGAATATTGTTTCCACAAGACAATCTCGATGAAGCACATTTGGCTTCTGGAAGAACGCTAGCTGATGATCCAGGCAGTGTGGAAGTGTGTCACAGTCCTGTGTGCTGTTTCACACGCCAAGTGGTGTTCTGGCTTGTCGTTTTAGAAGCTCTCCCAAACTGAAACTGAGACTGGTTGGTAATAAACCGAGTATAGTTAATTGTCTGTCACTTGCTGTGGCAAGCAAAGTACTGTGATACGACTTATTGGTACCCAGCAACATATTGCAGAAAGAAAGTGCGTGACTAAAACTTTTCTGTTAGCGCTTTTTTCAAGTCACAAACTAGGTTTGGACATTGCAAACAAAGAAGCGTGGCACATAGATCACTCAGGAGTGATTGTAGCTACATGTTATAAAACACACACACATGGCACAAAAAACAAGGTCAGTTTAAAACATACACTGCTTAGAATAATGGAAAGCTGAGCCAGTTGGTATGCATTTATTCTAAGAAGACAGGGCATGCAAACACTGACACAAGAACGCAGTCGGAGCACCACAAATGCCTTCGTACATTGCCGTTCTGAAGTAACGTGCTCGTGTACCCAGACAACTGATAGAACATTGCAGATGCATGGCGCGTAGCGTGTTCTTCGTGCAATGTGGAGCACAATATGCCGCCTCTACATGTGCTCGTCACGTGACCACGGCTTGCTCCCTTTCCTCCGACGCTTGAGAGAATCTGGGGGACTACGCCGCTCGCGAATGCCACCCGAAGCAGAGTAAGAAAGTGTTGGTTCTGTCATCGAAACTCGCTTCACGGAGGCGTGATAACAGGTATATTAAATTTCTGACATGTTCAATAATGATCTGATTTCAGAAGCTGTGGTAGAACTTTCTCTTTGTGGCACCTTGTAACAGTCATTTAAAGCCGAACCTTGGGGCCTGGAGAGCTGGCTTTTAGGTGCAGTAGTGAAATAGGCATCTGGGATAGCACTCGTGCTTCTCTATTTGCTCACATATCTGTAGAATTCCATGCTACACTCTCATCATGTTCAAACCAGCTAGCTTAACCTGCCACCTAAATCTGGGCTGTGTTTTAGATCTGCATGTCACACTTCATTTTTTTAATCCCTTCAAGAAAGAATTTTTGTGGAAGAGGGAGGCTCAAAGTGATAATAAAAATCATTAGACAAGGAATGTTGCGGGGGCCAATGTTTCGACTAGTGGTCTTTCCAAAATGTTAGCTCCTGGAACCATAGAGTTTCCTAAAATTAACTAGAGGGGACTCTGGCGCTGCGATCGTTCAGCGACCATGGGAATGATGGGCAGTACACACATTTGCCTAGTCTTCGTACTTGCGGGCGGCGAATCGTACTTGCGGCTTCGTTTATTGCTGGTTACGGTTTTGTTTTGAAGGAAAGAACGAACCATTTTGACCCAATTCGAAATAGTAAGCCGAAAAGAATAAGGTTTTGAAGCGCGAACGGTGAACAGTTGCTAATTTATGTTTTCGTGAAAAAACAGCTTTAAGCCACATGAACACACACGGACCCAGAAGCAGGCCAGAAGTACGAAAATTAGACAAATGTGTGTACTACCCATAATTCCCATGCTTACTGAAGCGCCGTGCGTTGCAGCTCCCATAGACACTAGTGCCAGAGTTCCCTCTAGTGTGTATTAGGAAACTCTATGCCCGGAACATTCCCTGTTTTATGGTTTTCCAGTGATTTTTGTCCCTTTTCGTCCAGCCTTAATGTCTTGCTTTCCTATGTGAAGTGCTGCAAAGTTTGACTTAACAATCACTATTATTGTACAAATGCTGCAATAGCCGATCACAGGCATCGTGCTTTTTTGTGCTTGTTCTTTGGCATGCAGTTTTGATGAACACATAATTGACGTCATTCTCTTTCTGTTTTGTTTCTTAGAGGAGGAAAGCATGCTCTTGTCTCCTGGGTCGGCCAATGATGGCATGAAAAGAGACATGGCGTCCAACAGTGCTGGCGAGGAGGCATCTTCTCCCCAGGGAAGTCCACAGCCTGCCAAACGAAATTCCGATGGCTCGGAGACCCCCACACCCAAGCGTTTCAGGTGAGGTCCTGCAAGATTTGGCTACTATTTGTCACGTGTTATGAGGTCACCTTGTCAATCAGCATTTTTTAAAATTACAAACAAGCAGGAAGGCAGATGAACACAGGTGCTGTACGATTTTCAAGTGTCTCTTAAGAAATGAATTTTAAATATACAGATACTAGAAATGAAGTTCCAGAAAGCTTGCTTTAGGCTGATTGATACATTGTGCATAGCGAAAACAGCCCAGATTTGCAGGACAAAGTCTTTTTCTTCTTTCAGAAGCGGATGCAAAGTTGCACTTTTTAACACAAATACCTTTCTTTGTCATCAGGTTCGGTAGTTATTGAACATACTTTTAATTATTAACATGATGGCTACATGCTATAGTGAAACAAATTTGTAGGTTAAAAAAAAGGCTTTCACCGCTAACATAGTTCTCGTAAACTTGTGAGTTCTAGATGTTGCCTTAAAGTAAGCATTTTTTTTTTAATTTCAGAAAAACATTGGGGCTATTGTGTAGGCTGTCAAGGAGGGCAAAGGGCAACAGTGTAAATACAGAATGGAATTGTAGTGACAGTGTGTAATGGACCACGTTATCCAGAGATATAAACCTACGTCCACCGACATGTCCTGTTGTGCAAAAAGCCTTGGGGGATCCAAATGGTTATGTGTTGGGGAAAAAGACAGCCTCTTGCTTCTCATCGCGCTCTCTCCTGTGGTGTCAGGAGATGGGGTCAGTGGAGTCGCATATTTATTTGTTTGCACTCATTTTCTTTCCCAAAATACACTACTAAACAATAAATGGTCCGTAAATTTTCCCACTGCAACAAATATGAACCTTTCAATGTGCCATCCCTTTATCGAATGTAATAGCTTTCCAAGAGTCCTCACCTATTCACTTGTATTGACAATAGTTATGAATTGTTTGTGCACAATGGCTTCTGACAGGTGGTCATCTTTAGCGTGCACCACAAGTGCTCGTATTAGTACAGTTTGAATGAAAGAAAGGGAATTGATTTAGGCAGCCTTCTTTTTTTTATTAAGCGCAATTATAAGAAACCAACAGATAATGAATGCAAGGAAAACACTGAAGATGCCGCTTGCAGTTTCTAATTGAAGTGTCGTATCAGAGCCACGGCGCTATATTTATAGCCTGCATGAAGGCATAATTGTGTTGCATACTCTTGTATCTTTCATCTTTTATCTTTCATCTTTCAACACCCACTGAGGGTGTTTTAGGTCGTCTTTCAGCTTTTGGACATTGCCTTTTTCTTGTTGAGGTGTACTTGATAATTTTATCTTTTATGTATTTCCCTTAGCATTCTTTCTTCAATGCATTTACTACTGTCGATGCATATGCTTCGCCAGCCCAGAGTATAGTGAAGTAATGGTGAAGGAAGGCTGAACCCTTGCTGTGCAGCTAATTTTTCGAGAGAGATAGAGAGCTTCAGAATGCTGACTTACCTTGCAGGCTCTGCACAGAGGAAGAGGGCCAGCCCATGAGAGAGGTGACGAGTGTGTTCATGACACCCTCAGGCTTCATCTCACCAGCTCGAGAGGGCAAGCTACCAGAGCCAAGCGCTCCGTCGTCGTTCATCAAGACCCTGCCGGCTGGCATGGCCTTTGACTCTGATTCTTCAGACAGCATAGATTTGCCACACAAGGAAGTGAAGGTGAAGGAGCCTAAGAAAACGATAAAGGTGAAGAAAGAGGGCAAAGATGGCAAGAAGGCCAAGGCGAGCAAAAAGGACAACAAGGAGAACACACACCTTAAGAAGGCCCCTACGCTTTTCGTCCCTTTCATGAGCAAAAAGAGTTCGAGCAGTAACCCCATGCTCAAGATTAAAAAGAAGCTTGCCAAGGGCCTGAAGCTGTCCAAGGAGCTGAAGCTGTCCAAGGAGCTGAAGCTGTCGAAGGAGCTGAAGCTGTCCAAAGAGCTGAAGCTGTCCAAAGAGCTGAAGCTCTCCAAGGATGGTAGCAGCAAAATAGGTAAGATCAAGTCCAAGAACAAGGAGGGAAAAGTGAAGGAAGGAAAGATCAAAGAGGGCAAAATTAAGGAGGGCAAGAGCAAAGAAGGGAAGAGCAAAGAAGGAAAAAACAAAGATGGTTCCAAGTCAAAGTCTAAAAGCAAGAACAAGCTGGTGAACCCAGGGGGCACAGGAGGCTTGATGGCAGTGGCCGGCCTGACGCCAAAGCCGACAAAAATTAAGTCGCTGAACAAGTCAAAGAATCCGACTTCAAAAGCAGAAAAGAGAGAGAAGAAAAAGCAGGCAGCCGCAGCCGCAGCCGCCGAAAACCCTATTTCCTTCTTATTTGCACCACTGCCTACACCACCTCCCCTTGCACCTGTCTCAGCGCCGCCCCCCGCCCCACCTCCTCCTGCCCCACCACCGCCGGCACCATCTTCACCACCTGTGTTGTCTCCACCTCACTTGCCTCTGTCATTGACTTCCATGATTCCTCCCTCCATGCTGTCAACCATGACACCACTGCAAGTGATGGCATGCAAGGCGGAAGAGGAACGGAGCAAGCTGAATGCAGCCGCTGCCGCCGCAGCTGCGGCCGCACAAGAAACTCCGATGGTCGTGGACGACCCATACGAGGACGAGCCACTTTCTCGCGAGGAGTCTCCAGAGCCGAGGCTCGTGATCGACGACTCGCCTGAGACACTCAGCAAGCAGGAGAAGGAGAACCGGCTGGCTGACATAGAGCAGTGCATTGACGCTGTGATCCAGAAGGCAAGAGAGGAATCTCGGCTGGAAGAGAAGAGGGAGACTTTGGAGGCAGCTATGTCAGGCATGCTGAATCGCAAGCTGGAGCCACGGGATGTCTACGACTTCACTGACTCCGACTCGTCGCCGCCGCCGACACCCAAGACACCGGATTTAGTGGGCTCGCCAGCTCCAAAGAAGGAAGTCAAGGAACCGTCGCCGGAGCATGTTCCAGGACCACCCGTTGTCACAGAACACAAGAAGTCCAAAGAGAAGACTAAAAGCAAGAAGAAGTCTGGAAAGAATAAGTCGGCTTCGGGAACGCTGTCCCCGAAAAAGGGGCTTCCTAAGACACCGGAAATGAAGGCATCTCCCCTGATCGCCCTTTCCCAGCGATCAGAAACATCTCCAGAGCCGGCACCCAGCTTCTCGGGCGTGTTTCCCTTTTCGCAACAACAGCCACAACTGCAGCAGCCTCAGCAACCAACCGGTCCCCTGTTCTCGCCGAAGTTCCCTGCTTTTGGGTCACCGCCCACTCAGGGTTTCCTGCCGGCGTTTCCATTTTCCTCGCAGCTTCGAGCAGGCACGTCGTCCCATTTCCCGACACCCCCACTGTTTGTGCCACCACCTTCCTCTCGTGAAGACATGTCGCCAGCATCCTCCCCAACAGCACCCCCCCCTGGAGGAGGCCTTATGGGTCCTGTAGTACTTGGTGGGAGTCCCTTCGCCGTCAAGACCTTGGCTGAGAAGAAAGCCATCCCACCCATTGTGCCGTCCACAACCCGAATGGATGAAGACAAGCCATCCTTTTCCAAATCCGACAAAGATGGTGAAAAGGTGAGCATTGGAGTTGTGTTGCTATTCCTTCTGGTAGTATGGTATTTTGCGACACTGTTCTTGTTTTGGCTATGGAGGCACAGTGCTTAGGGTCTGTAGGACTTCCTAAGACTATTATCCTTATTAAACTGTTTTGGACTTTTGGTTTTAATGAGACAGACTGCCTGCAGCTCCATCTGCTTATAATAAAGGCCTTGAATGCATTCTTGGTATTATTTATTTTAAGCTCTACTCATTCATTTCAGAAGAACAAATGGACTCGTGTGTTCGCAAGTGCTCACATGCATCATGATTATTTATGTTCGAAATTTTTTAGGTGTTTGGGATGCCTCCTAGAAGGAGCATTCTCATGGGCAGTTGCATTGTGCCGAAGTGACAGTTGCATACTAATTTGTAGCTCATTTTGTTTAAATGCACGAGGTTGTTGTGCAGTGTGCATGCTCTGCAGCGGGCATCACATTGCGAATATCACCGAGGAACTGTTTTCTGTTGTGTCATTGTTGCCATTTTATTCTTGAACTGTTTCGTTCAAGGACACTGGCTGATCTTGATCATCGAATGATGATGGTGATGAAAAGTGTTGCTCAATTATGCAAAGAGCAGGACTGTCTGAAGTGCACTAACTTTGATGACATAATCTATTCTTACTAGGTTCTAAAAATCATCATCTTGGTGTTTCATGCTGCGCGAAGTCTTTTTCAGATTCCTTCGTGCGCCATAAAACAAGTGCTAGATCTTTGTACAGATGATACCATGAAGCGTAGCCATGAAGAACTGAAAAAAACTTCTTAAAGGGACACTAAACAGAAACAATGACTTGGTTTAGATTGATGAACTGTACTCCGAGGACTCTTATGACGTGTGTTTCGCTATCATAAGTTAATTATTAGCGGAGAAAAGCAGGGTTGAAGGTTCATAGTTAAATTTTGCACCAAGATCCGCGTGCGTGACGTCAACATTTTTCAAAATGGTATTTTCGTATTTGCACGGCATTGTCTAGATTAAATTTTCGGAAACTTCGTATGCTATACTCCATTTCATACATCATACCTCAACTTCTTGCATAGCTGCGGAAGCGGAAGCTATGCAAGAAGTTCGGCCGGCAAAACGTGTAACTCCGTGCGTTTCGAGGTCGCTCACGTGACATATGATTAGTGCCGGTGCACCTTCGCATTTATTCGTGCTCCCCTTTGGCATGACTGGCGAACAGGAGAAAGCGGGGTGAGCGCAAAAGAATGCGGGTACCAAATGACTCTGTGGTGTCCTATCTTGCACTGACACTGAAAGTCCAGGTGGCCACCATCGTGACGTACTCAGAGTAGAGAGCCTGCGTGTGACGTCACGTGAGAACTAAGCTATACAGCCACATAATAACAGATGTTCAACGGCGTTGTTCTTTGTAAGGAACATAATATCTTCAATTACTGCTCGCTGCAATAACAGAACATCAAACTACTTTTTGTTGCGAACGTAACGACTGCAAGAAGTCTCGCTAGCTTCCACAACGTTGCACAGAGTATAGGTAGGTCTATAGCACCCACAGATGACAATGTACCATTTTTGTTGATTAGAAGCTACGTAGGACTCGGTGTACGCCTTCGAAATAGATGACGTCACACTGTTTGGTGCAGAGATCTCAAGGTGTCATCTGCACCCGTATTTTCGTGCGTTTTCTCGTTTACCAAGCGTCGTGTCGTGTTAAGAGTGGTGTTTTCAGGATTGTGAAATTGTACTGTACTAATATGAGAAAAATCATTTTGCTCTTTAGTGTTCCCAAGGTACATCAACCAAACATCAAAATAAAAATTAAGCAACAAGCAGCAGGTAAATGTGCAAGTATTCAAGATATTTTAGACATTGTGCGAAACAGTTTATTCGCATGTCTGGAGGGCCCCGACACATTGCTGAAAAGTTTGAAGTCAGAATGACGCACGTACAGCTTACGGTGACTATTAAAGATGTGCTGGTTCCTCCATTTGTGTTCAAATGTATAAGTGCGCCAAGAGTGCACAATTGTGTTGGAAAGAAACGCCCTTCTTTATGAAAGCTCGAAACGTAAGGTGTGTGTTTGAAACGATAAATTTATGTTTAGTCCGTGAAAGTTTTTGTTGAGTTATTTTTTATGTTTACATGCAATAATAGCTTAGCTGTGCTGTTTTGAATATAAATGAATAATTATATTGTCTGCATGCTTAACAGCCAAGATTAGACATCTAATGTGGCAAAAATTGCATTTTTTACCTATGCATTACATCTAAGTAAATGTGATGTGCTGTGAAGTGCTTGGCCTTCAATCATGGCCAACTTTTTTTTTTGTTAGCAGGCCTCTGTGCAGGCAGCACATGTCGCTGATCTGTGGTCCTTTTTTTCGCCTTTCCCTCTCCTTGCTTTCATGTCCAGTTTTCGATGGACAAATACTGGAAGGTAATGTGTCTTACGCTGCTTTCTTCGCGCTGCTAGAATTTCAATGTCTTTTTTCCTTGCAAACACTGTAGTAAGTCTCGTGTTTTCATTGCAAGCAGCCTGGACTGAGGAAGGGCAGGCTGTCTGCTGCCGTAAGACGTGTCGTCAAGGTCATTGAGGACGTTTTCTTTTTCTTACTGTTGGCGCATGTGCAATCTTGTGGAAACATTTATGGGTGCATGAAAGCGTGCCTTTTTCTTGCTGGTTTCTGGTATTTGTGGCATTGCACTTCATTTCGTGTGTAAATGTAGGAAAAAACTATTTAGGAATTGGCCTGTGCTCACCCCTGCGATCGGTGAAAACATGATGGCAGCTGATGAGCGGGTTGTGCAACCAGTAGTTTGTTTCGACATCTAAGCAATGGGAGTGTTCTTGTGGTGCCATGAAAGCCACTTTAAATTTACATGGAGGGGCTTGTTTATGCGACGTATGTGGGAAATGCTAAAGGAATTCCATGCCTCAATACTAAACTTGAATGAAGCAGGTATGAAACGTCCTGCGTTACTGCACCACGAATATCTCTTAAATTACACATTTTTCAGTGTTGCAAGGCAGGTGTAATATATGGCGCAGTTCAGCTTGTCTGGGATCTTGCACAAGCTTGCTGTAGAGCCTTCAACATTGCCTGAGTGTGCATTGTGAATGGACCATAAGTCAAATGGACGAAAGACAAGGAACTTAGGAAATCAAGGCAATATGATTTCGGGGCAGACGTTGTGAGCAGACGTTGAAATATTTGTGTTTGTCTACACTGCTGTCCCCTTTCCTGTCGGAAAGGAATTCTTGATGCGCACCGTCCAAAAGCGCGTCACAGTTCTGTGTGCTGATGTGGTCGAGAGAGAGAGAGAGAAGGAATGTAGGAAAGGTAGGGAGGTTAACTAGGCTATGCGTCCAGTTTGCTACCCTACACATGGGGAGGGGGAGAGGGGAGTAAAAGAGAGAGGATAGACACATGTCACATCACACACACAATGCCGAGTTTCACAGACGGTCCCTCAATGAAGTTGCTGTCAAGTATCTCAGGAGGGCTCGTGGTCGAGCTGCACAAGCTAAATGGCGTAAGTTTCACCCGGCGGCTTGTCGTTTTTCGAGCTCTCTCAAACCAAAACAGAAACTGATCGATCATGAGGAGCCTGTATGTAATTAAATGTCGTGCGCTTCAGCAGGTAATGACTAACATGTTATGACTAACAGGCCCCCAGCAATACATTTCAGCAAGAAAACAACGCTAGGCCAAAGTTTTTGTGTCAGTGCCCTTTTTTTTTTATCAAATGCAAAAGGAAGCTACTAATGTAAAATTTTAAGCACCTGCACCCCCCCCCCCCTCCTCGTGGTCGATGGGAATTAGGGGGTCCTTGAAGAACTGCTAAAAATAAAGAATGCACATCGTGCTTCTGATGCAGTGCTCTTTTAAAAATGTATGCTTCTTTAAATATGCTTTAGTCCGACGAATGAAAACATTGAATAAAACTGTGAATATGTTGGGAGGAGAAAAGGGCACATATTTGAAATCTCCCAAAGTAGGGAGAGAGGGGCTTGCTTGAGTAGGGGCGCATGCGCCCTGGATATTACATTATGTTCTATTTCTCGAAAGCCCAACAGTTCAGTCTCGGGGTTATGCCTGCCAACAGAAACAGCAGTTATGGAGGCAACATTCAGATTTGCGGTGTTTCATTTAAGCAGCCTGTACCATTTTTTTTTTTTCAGTTTCTAGTGCACTTTTGGAAGCATGCCATTTGTGGCTCGGAAGCGCATGCATTGCCACATCCACTATCATTGGAGAGTGGTGCTTTTTATAATTTGATGTAATGGTTTGAGCACTTGTGATTGTGGTCTTCATTTTTTCTTTTCTTTTTTTTATGTGTTAAAGGTGACGTGTGTGGGTGAAAGGTGACGTATGTGGGTGTGTGTGCCTGTCTGTCTGTGTTTTTCTGTTTCTAGGTGTCTCGATATGTTTGTTGGCCGCCTTGTGGCATCTTATTCTCGTAATCTAACTTGCTTGTACTTTAACGTGCAGAGTAAAGCCAAAGAGAAGAAAGAGAAGAAAGCCGACAAGAAAGAGCATGCCAAGAAGAAGCCAAAGGAGAAGCTGAAGGAGAAGCCGCCCAAGGAGAAGAAAGAGGCCAAGGCCAAGCTCAAGGCTCCCGAGAAGACCAAGGCGGAGAAGAAGGCTAAAACGAAAGTTGGCAAGGAGAAGGAGAAAAAGAAAGGGAAAGAGGAGAAGGTAACTTTTTTTTTTTTTAACAGAGCAGGGCGTGCTCTAGTGGTTGCTTTATCACCGTGTAAAAAGGCGAATTGTGTAACATTGTGGGGCATGTTTTTCTAGTATGGAGCTTAGATCTGGAATTTAGGTATGTTATGAAGCCTGGTAAAAACATTACTGTTGGCTTTGCAGTATTAGTTTTTGCTAATGCTTTGGCATGCAGTGTTTTTGTATGTCTGTCTGCCCATAGGCTGTGCCACAGATACCATAATTTCTGTACTTGCTCATGTTTTAAGGGTGCATAGACATCACCTGAACTTCTTGCAATATCCTTGATCATTCTAAAATGCTATCATTACCTAGAAATAATTGTAGCATAGAAGTGTTTTTCAAAGCCTAACTTAGAAAATTCATACTCGACAAATTTTTCTTCCCAAGTAGACCCTTTCAGCTCACAATTATCGACAATGATAATGAGCCATTTCATTAGGGCTCTGTACATTTGGATCTCATTTATGTGAAAGAAAAGTTAAATATAAGTATGAACTTTCTTTTTTCTTCCTTTTTAATGTAGAAGAAGGACGACAGCATTCCTAAGATCACTGTAAAGCTTGGAAGCACTCCGAAGCCCAGTGCAACGAAAATGTGAGTACCAGTAGTCACACACGTAGTTTCCCCGTTGAACTTGGCACACTCCGGGTTATCAAAGGCGTCTAAAAAAGTTCTGTAGCTTTTCTAGTTAGGAGATCTTGGTTAATTGCTACACATGTAAACTATGATTGACGGCAACGAATGAAGCAGCCGCCTTGTGGAGAATTGTGTATAAACAGTACTTTTTGTGCCCATCATATTACATCAGTAGCAGTGCTGAAGTGATACAATACATATTGGGGGTGGGGGATGGAAAACTGTTGACCTTCATACCTGCATACAATCTATAAACAAAAAACAAAGTGTTATAAAAGCTGGATAAAGCATGCTTAATAATAATAATAAAAAAAGAAAACAAAGAATGCGAGATCATATTTCTTATATCCTTAATGAGAAGCATCAATGTGTAAGCACTAAAGAATTCTGGCATTTTACGGGCTCAAACCTTAATGGGATTATGAGGCATGTTGTTCTGGGGAACCCTTGTGTATATTTTGGCCATAAAGGTTTCTTTGAAGTGCATCAAAATTAAAATGTGTTGGTGTTATAGGGGATGTTCAAAATGTACAGTGCTTCTGTCCGCAGTCCCATAAGCTCGATCCACCATGTTTTATTGGGTGTGAAAAGAAAACCAGTCATATATCACAGCCTTTCAGAAGCTAGTTGCTGCTTTTTTTTCTTCATTTGGAGATGACTTCCCTGTGCTTCGTGTGCTGTTCAGGCAACAAGGGAGCCTTGACAATGCTGGCAACAATATAGCACTAATTTTAATTGAATTTATCAGTTACGTGAACGAAAAGAAAGAATGCACTGATGTCAACAAGATGGGCACCGTGCTTAGGTTCAGAAATGACTGGCGTGCGCAAAAGCATGCATCAACCTCAGTTCTTTCTCAGTGCAATTTGGTTGCTCACTTGCAACATAAGCTCGACTTGCAGAGCAATATATTACAATGTATACATTTTAAAACAGATGGCCGACATCGCAAAAGCGCTAGAGGGTATGATCGAGCAACATTAGCTTGATGGTATTGCAGATCAATGAAAGCAAGTATTAATGAATACAAATGTGTGCAAGCAGTGCCACAGATGCTGCTGGGTGCGTCAGTGGTAAATCAGTGCTGCCACATGAGACTGCATCACAAAGATGCTAACAGGCATCTCTCTGCAAGCTTTGCAAGACAGTGCGTGCCAAAGCACGTAATCTGCTTACTCAATCTGCTCTTTGTTTCACGCCCCCCTATCCTTGCCCTTTTTTCTTTTGCCTCATTTGGTCAGCGTGCATTGCGGACACCGAGCTAAATATTACAGAGCAGTACAGTAGATGCAACTGTTTGTTCGACAGATCATCATCACACTCATCTTTTCGCTGATTGTGGGAAGTCTTATGCTGTTTGCAACAGCACGTTATAATGCCTACCTCCATGGCATGCAAAAGCAAATAGCTATATTTTAAAAAGACATGTCGATTAACTCGCACGTATAGCATTCAAGAAAGCCAGAATGACAGCACTGAACCTGCGGGGTAGATTATGACCTCGAGGCAATTTAATTAACCAGTGCACATTAAAAGAGCATTACTCAGGCTGCTCCCTTTGTATGCAGTCGAAATGCGCGATCGGTATTTTTGTTTGGTTTGTGGCAAATCCCTCATGCACATATGCATGCCTTGTTTATTTAGAAAAACTACAACACACGTTATTGCGAAGGGTGTAGAGAAACCAGTGGCTAAAGAAATGAGCCGAGGAATGCTGTCTAACGTACAGGTTGCACAGGCACTATGTGGTTTAAATATCTGACGCGTGTTTGCGATCGGAGTAAGAATTAAAATGGAAGTGTATTGCTGTGCAAGGTCATGTTAGAAGTTTGACAGTCGCATCTCCTCTGCAATGAACACTTTTCTTGGACGCCTACCTCAGGTCGAAAGCACACGCCATTAGAGAACAGTAGTTCGACTTTGGGAAGCGGTGCGCCTTGTCCAGATGAATTTTTAAGTGCGCAGAGTTCTGATATTGAGTTATCGAATTGTGCAGAGCTCTGATATTTAGTTTTTATGGAAGTGTGCTGACCATTCGGCGCTGAATTAAGGGGGCGCTGCAATACTTTTTGAGCGTGGTCAGAAAACGCTGCCGATCGGTAGTAGAGGCTCCCGACAACACGAGAGCCAAATATTGTAGCACAGCACGCGGCCTGGAATTCAGAATAAATGATCAAAGTCGGCTAAAAGTTGCTTTCTCTTCTCTCGACAAATGACGTTGTATGCCCAAAAATCACACGACGACCCATCTATCAGCCATTGGCCGATTTGAACATGGCGTGCTCGCTCGTTACAGAGATCGCTGCGAAAGGCCGCTACTTGTCCACGCGTGCGCGTGTCATCACAATGAAAAATCTGTGCATTCGAAGAAAAAAAAAAGTGCTCAAGGTCGCAAAGCGCACGTGACATGTTTTTGTGACCCTGCCATCCCTCCTTGCTTAGCTTCCAGTGCTTTCGTCGAGACGAGAGAAGAGAGAATGCAATTGTAGCATGTGTCAAGCTTTTGTAACTTCACTCGCACTGGACGGATTCTTAAAGTTTTTGGGGCATTGAATTCATGAGGAAATAAGCTCTTCCAGTGAATTTATTCCATGGTTACTTGAAAAAGTGTTTCAGGGCCCCTTTAAAAAAGAAACGACCGCATTTTTTTTAGTATGAAAGCTCTGCTAATGACTGAGGTTAAGCCTCTTTTCAGCCTTTCTTTGTGGGGATGCTAGCAGGCAGTTCTGCGATGCTACCCAACGAAAAATGATGAACGTACCTAGTGTTGCCAATACCACTTATATGGCCTTTCACTCCCTGTTTAGTGTGGCTGCTATGATAGGGATTGAACCCGTAAATCTATGCTTAGTAGCAGTGACATGCCACTAAGCCATTGCTGCAGTTGAACAATTTGAAACCGTAGGGACCTCTAAACATTGCAGTTAGAGAGGGAGAGTTACACACATGTATGGCATTCAAGAAAACCAGAATGGCAGTACTGGACCCCATGTGATAGATTATGACCACGAGACTATATAAATAACCAGTGCACACTAAAAGAGCATTACTCAGGCCACTAATGAACTTTATTAGTTTGCATTTGCATACTGAATACTGCACTCAACTGTAACCTGGGTAGCGTTTCATATTGTCTGGCATATACCCCCAAAAAAGCTTACTGAAAGTGTAAAGTTGAGGCGCAGGTAATACGCAAATTCGAGTGGACATGGCAATTTTAGGGCAGTGCAAGGAAGGGGTACATAGTGAACTGAAAGTAGATGCTGATGTGTAGGGGATACCACGGACTGAAACTAATCGAAAATAAAGCTTTTGCTGTCTGAGAGCATAGTTAAGGGTGTAATTTGTGTCGAAGTGTAAAATTAGTTTGCATGGTTGAAATGTGCTGGTCGAAATGTGCTGGGAACTCTTTTTTTTTTTCTTTTTCTCCCACAGGATGTATTTGGAAGGAGGATTGTGCAAGCTATAACCAGAATTGGCTTATACGTGAGAAAGTGGCATTAAACCTATACTATTATTAGTGACTTTGCACTCCACTGCTTGCAGCCTCTTCAAAGCGCTGGCCCAAGGCGGCGGTGGCACCTCGCCTCCGGACCCATTTGCGGGGTCACCGCCGTCCTCTCCCGTGCGAGCCCGCAGCCCGTCGCCGCCAGTGTTGGCTCCCGTGGCTGCGCCTCCGCCACCCCAGCCGCAGACGAGCGGCCGGGGCAGCAAGGCATCGTCCAAGGCCTCCAAGAGTGCGGCTGCCGCACCCCCTGCCTCCCAGCAACCGCAGCTGGCCGAGGCCGTCTCTCCGCTCCCCACGGCCAGGATGGTCATTACTGAGACCGTCGGCACCATTGTGGTGAGGGCTCACAGCATGACAGCCTGTGCCCTTGCCTGTTTGTTTGGGCGAGCTGTCCTGTTAAACGGGTACTGCTGGCACGAACATTTTCAGCTGTTCTTTTTTTTTTTGTGCAAGTGAAAAGTTCAGCCCTCAAGAACCTACGAAATGTACTTGTAAGCTTGAGTGCACCCTGAAAAATTAATTGCCACAAGTTTTTAAAAGCTAGTCTTGGTTCCTACTGTACGCTAACAACACGACACAGTATGAGCTTCTCGTCACTTGCTCGCACAAGATATTGTGACATTTTTATGGGGGCTCCGCTTTGTGGCTCTGTTAGTGACACACATGCTGCCATTTTAAAAGTGGCCATGCTGTGTACATTGGTACCTGACATCGTCACAAGTAGCCATACTTGTGCATGAAGTCACCAGAATTGATACTGTGGCCTGACATCGTGATAGTGTCGATATCGGTGGGTTTGCCAGGCGTCAATCAATTTTAATATCAAAATGAAATATCCTCTCAGTATTTACTGAGCTTTGCACTTGATCAGAGCTGTCACTATAGTATATTTAGGAGTCTTAAACGGCAGAGTAAACTCAAGTTCGAAGATTGGCGTCAATACCCCTTTAAAAGGACACTAAAGAGAGAAATAATGTGTGGCGTATTAGTAAAGTAAAATTGCTGCTGCCACTTTATACCCACAAACTTCCTAATCTCATCTGTCCGCCTAAGTTTCTTTCTCCCCCTAACTCGCTTGCCTTCTCTGGGAATCCAGTCAGTTATCCTTAATGACCAGTGGTTATCCTGCCTACGCGCTACATACCCGGTCCATGTTCATTTCTTCTTCTTGATTTCAACTACGATATCCTTAACCCTGGTTCATTCCCTGACCCACTTTGCTCTCTTCTTGTCTCTTAAAGGGTAACTCACCAGGTTTGACAATGTTGAGCTGACAAGCGCAATGCGTAGATGAGGCATTTATGATCTCGTCTGCCAAAATTTGCAACGCTACACGCCGCGGAAATGGGTCAAACTTCAAGATGAACTCTACTCCCCCTTTCTTTTGCGGGCGCGCACCCAGAGAATGATGGCATGACGTGTGCGTATAAGTGGCTCTACATACATGACAATGCGGTGACGTTGGTCCTCTACGTAGACGATTATGCTCTGACGTTGCCAACAGTGGCACGTGACATGGCGAAAATTATTTAACACAACATGCATAGTTTATGTATCTGTCGCATAGTTTAAGTATCTGTCGCAAATAATGAGACATAATAAGGGAATGTGAGCTTTCTTTTTTTTTTTCATTTTTCTTCTGTGAAGCAGCTTTAAACAATAGGGGGTGAACTTAAGTTATCTCAGGAATAAGATGAATTACAGGAAAAATAATTAAATATTTGAGACCAGCAGAAACAACTGCATAATCCTGCGCAGTTTAATCAATATCACGGAAGAAATAAACAAAAAAAAATTGTCTAAGACCAGTCTGCCCCCTTAAAAGCAGAGTTTATGAATCTTAATCATGATTTTCTCACTTAAGTGTCCCTTTAAAATGTTTTGACTTATGTTCTCCCTCTCACCGTACAACTTCCTATCACCCAGTATATTTTGCACCCTTATGTTTACTCCCTAGCTTCCAACTCTAAGTGCCACCATGTGTTTCACCTGGAGACAGTTTCGTGTATACCTGATAGAAAATGAATTGGGCTTTAACTCCTTACTTTTGGTCCTCAAACCATATCCGAGTTTGTTGCAAAAAACTGGGCTTTTTCTAGTCCTCTTGATACTTTTCAAGGGATTGTAGGGTGTATCTTGATGTACTCACAGGACAATTTGTTGAGGGCTCATTTAAATTCATCAGTATTGTGAGACATGGGACTAGAGATCTGTTTGTATTGTGATGAAGTGCCAAATGGATGAACTATGTAATGTATGTTTGTGAATGTGTAGGAAGTTGAGCCTCTGCCAGTAGAAACAAAGGTACTATGCCTATTACAGAAGTTGACTTTGGGAGTGAGCAGTTAGTGATAATATTAGCAGTAATCCTATTTCTATTGTCATAAAAAAAATCACAGCATATCCACAGAGTGAATGATGATAAGTGGGGCGAAGCGTCTGTCAGCCCGTCCCTGCTTCCGCCTGTCCATTCGTTCTTGCTTCTGTCCATCCGTGCAACCATCCGTGTGGTCATCCATGCGTCCGTCCGTCTGTCCGTGCATCCATCCGTCCGCACGTCCATCTGGTGAACACTCCATGTACAGCCATCTCGCATCTCCTGTGGCACATATCCGCTCTGCACGTCCGTCCATCCGTCTGTCCATCTACTAGTCTGTCGGTCCGCCCGTCCGCCCGTCCATGCGTCCGTCCGTGCATCCTTTTAGTGAACACTCCAAGTACCGCCACCTCCCATCTCGCATCCCGGTGGCTACATACAACAACGACGGAGGATGGACAGACTCACGCCCTAAGGAGCTTCACCCCTAAAAAAAGGAACAACTGAATTAATTTGCTGGGAACTAAAGCTAGTAGTATTCCATCCACATGGGTTTTTACTGTGAAGCTTGGTGTACAACTTCGTGATATCTGAGGTTTTGTGCAAGTGCAGTCAATGAAGAAGCGACCAGTTTCATCAGGCTTTCCCGAAATGGTGGAGCATGATGAAAGGAAACCAGCAGCTGCTGTGTCTGTGTTTTGCCAGGACACGTGCATGCCTCGAGCCAACAGCAAACAATTAATGAAATAATAATGAAAAGTCCTAGGTTTTTTGTATAATAATATAACCTGGATTGCCCCCAGAAAAATGTCTTTTTAGTAATGCATTAGTATTGACAAGTGAAGTGCGCTTTAAGGAGATCGATGCAAGGATGTTATTTCTAAGCTGGCTTTCCACAGGCTGACCTACAGTGAAGCCCAAACACACAAAAACACACACACACACACACTGTGGGGATCTCAGGCGCGCCCGCGACCATTTCGCGGGCATTCCGCCGCACGGCCACACCCTTTTGCTTTTCCTGCTCTGAGAACGACGCGTGGCGATAGATGGCGCCACGTGCGGGCACGGCACGCGGTACGCGCGCGCCGAGGGAGCGCTTTCTTTTCCGTGGTCGGCGCCGGGTAAGCACGTGTTTTCCTTCGTCCGCGTCCCCTTTGGGATTTGCGGACTGTAGCCTGCCTGGGGTGGCTTTGGGCACCCCGGCAGGCGTGTTTACTTGACTGCTGGCTTCGGTAGCGTACGCTAAGCCCAGAGCGGTGCCTAGTGCTTGAAGTGGTCGTACCACAACGAGCCACACTTGCCGTAGGCCTACGCGTACGAAGTTTGCCCTAACACTCGCGACCAGGCCCATTGGCCATCGTGAGAGTGCGCAGTATAGCCGCGAGGAACCTTTTCCCAACCGGCGTGTCAAAGCTCGCCATTGCCAGCTGTGACGTGCTCGCGGTTTTCCCTTTATTGTGAATGTCCGCGTGCGGGTGCCTTTGCTACCCGCGTCCCGGGAGCGGACGTTGTACTGTTGTGCGGGGTGCCGCCAGAGGCAATAAAGTGTTGTGTACTTTTGCATTAGAACACTGTCTGTTTGCCGCGCCGCGCTAAACGCCTTATTAGTTGAGCGCGCACGGAGCGGTACGCTACACGCGAGTAAACGGAGTAGCGGCCCTGTGGCTCGCTAAGCGTGAACCCGCGGTGATCGTCCGCTGCAGTTAGGAGCGGGGTCACCATAACACACACACACACACGCACACACACACACACACACACACACACGTGTTTTGTTTATTCTATTTATTTTTTATTGACATTCTGTTTATGTCAGCTATCAGCCAATAGGCAGCATTTGTTTGACGGCATGCAGCTGGTGCCCCACCCACCAATTTGAGGGCAAGGCCTTCTGTACGAAGAGAGGGCACGCAAGAAAGTGGCAACTTTGCACTCTGATCGTGAACTCGATGCAACACACGACTGCAAAATTTAGCTGGACTGCTTTAACAGCAGTCTTTTCTTTTTGTTAGAATACTTTCTTTTACCAGGATGGCTCAGACCCTTTTAATCACTTTGAGGTGGCCCTGCTTTGCGTTAATGGTGAGGTTATGGAAAGTTGTAGCTACGTGCCTTTGTTTGCAGGACGAACGCGGAAACAAAATCTGGATATGTCCCGCATGCGCCAAACCAGACGATGGCAGTCCCATGATCGGCTGTGACGAGTGTGACGACTGGTATCACTGGTGCGTTGTGCTTCTCTTAGTCCATTCACCTTTATCTATTCAAATTAGAATGTTGTACGATATAATGTAAGTCTTTTAGTGGGAAGGGCTTCGAGGATTGTCGTTTATTAGTGGTAGTACCCTCGGCTGCTTGTATCATAGCTCATTCGAGCACTGTGTCTTTGATGTATTTGTTCGTGGACGACCAGCAGACATACTTTCACAGTGCTCTTGATATTGCATCCTTTTGCTGTCACAAAGGAGGCCAGCTTCTAATGTATGCTACCATCATTAAATAATGTGTCGCTTCAAAAACAGTAGGTCAGTTCGGTGTTGGTATCTAAATAATGTGAAGCTTAAGGTAGTGCAGTGTCAGCAACAGTGGCTGACACAGTGCGTGACCTGTCACTTCTTGCTTTTAGCTCTCTTTGCTGCTCTCTAATAAAATTTAATGTGGATTCCGAGCTTCTTGCTTGCCAAAATCCTGATTCAGTGTCAGGCCATGCTGGAATGAGCAGTTTTGTATTCTGAACTGGACTGACAGTTTTGCCAGTTATGTTCTCAGCCACAGGGGCCGCATTTAAGGGGGGGATGGGTATCTTCAAACCGAATCAAATATGAGCTTGGTAGTTGAGGAAGGGTACCAGATCCAACAATGACTAGTTTTCAGGTATGTAACAGCAGTTTTTAAGTTCGGAGGCACAGATTCGTTAAGGGGAGGAATGCAAAAAATGCCTGTGTTATGTACACTTTGTGCAACCTCTGTTAAATTGAATAAATCTCGAGCCCTCCATTGCATCATGCCTCGTACTGTAGTTTGAGGGCATGATACAATAGAGTTTAAATAAAAAAATTTATTCTGTTTGAGTGTTGTGAGGGCATTGACTCAAAGACAGTTGTGTGTTGTTCCCATCTCTGTGCCAGGGTGTGCGTGGGAATCGTGGTGCCCCCGAAGGAAGAGGAGAGCTGGTATTGCAACCGCTGCATTGCCAAGAGGCAGGGGGCCCTGGCCAAGAAGAAGAAAAAGAAGCACCGCAAGGACAAATGAAGTTGCGGCGCCTCTTTTCCCTGGGCACGGTGGTGCGCACCCAGGTCCTGGAGGAGCACAACCCCCCACTACCCACGCAATGCTCATCGTCGTTCCTCCCCGACCAGCAACCCGACCAGTTCACGTCCTCATTTGTCCATTGCATTTGTCGGAACGCGCGCCAAGATCGCAAGGCGACCCTGTGGGCCGCACGGTGAAAAACGTGTTGACTGCACCGACCGGTCCCACGCGCGATGTGCTCCCTTTTTGCTCGTGTATGTTTTTTTTTCTTTAATTATAGAAGCCTTTTTTGCTCGTTTTAAGGGACAACCCTGAGTGACTTTATGCTGTGTTGCGTTCACCTTGTTCGGACGGAAAAAAGACAGTCGTTGCCCCCCCCCCCCCCCCCCTCCCGTCTCGACTTCTGAAAAGAAAGAGAAAAATGGAGAAGTGGTGTTCTCCGGTGAATCGTGTTCCCCTCGGAAGTAGTTATTTAGCGCGTGTGTACCCCGAGGGTAAGTGTATCGTCATTTATGCTGCTCATCGTCACTCTGTCACCCTTACAGTGTACCTAGATTTGTGTGGCGCATTCGCGCTGTTCCTGTTTGTTATCAGTTGTGTGTGCCGCCGGAGGCACGCTGCTTGGTCGGAGGAGAAAAAAAAAAATTGCCGTCTCGCCATTCACTCGCGGCCCCTGGTCTTGTGCGCCGTTCATCTGTTGTGGTATCGTTCCACCCGTTTGTTTCGTTACATAATCTTGCCAGGTCTGCCGGTAATAGTGCAACGCTGGGTCATTCATTTCGCTGATCTTGGCATGGGAACTTGTAATTAGGTGCTGGGGTTGGCCGTTTTGTCATCATTTTTTAGTTTTGGTAGTCTGTCCATTCAGACATTGTTGATTTCATGCGCGATGCTCGTGTAGCAGTGGCTTCATTGTATTTAGTACCACTGATGTGGTCAAACATTTGCTTCAAAGCCCTTGGATTAGCCTTGCTCTCCCTTCTTATTTTTATTTCCTTGTTTACATAGTTTTACAGCTTTGTTTATGTGGTTATACACTTATTAGATAAAGGGGGTGTGCGAATATTAAAAATATTGAACACAAATTGAATAGACTGTGCTACTTGGTTTGAGAATTTCTGATTCCATGTACTTAGATACTCGTTTCTTTAAATATGTATTCCTTACAGTGAACGGTTGGCCCAGTGAAGCTGTTGAGTCTATGGTATGCACCTAGGGTTGCCACCTGTCCGTTTTTTTAGACAGCAGGCCATTTGCCGGTCAACAGCTTCCGTCACTGTTCGTTTCTTTTTTTCAGAGCAGTGAACGAAGCGTCATAGAGTTTTCTAAAATTAACTAGAGGGGACCCTGGCACTGCGATTGTTCAGCGACCATGGGAATGATGGGTAGTACACTGGTTTGCCCAGTCTTCGTACTTGTGAGTGGAAAATCGCACTTGTGGCTTCGTTTATTACTGGTTTTGGCTTTCTTTCGAAAGAAAGAACGAACCCTTTTGAACTTTGTGCCCCGATTTGAAATGGTAAAACTAAAATAATAAGGTGGTGAAGCGTAACTGCTGAACATTCGCTGATTTTCGTTTCGTGGGAAAACGGCTTCATGCCACACAAACACACATGGAGCCAGAAGTATGAAGATTAAACAAATCCGTGTAGTACCCATCATTCCCATGCTTGCGGCAGCACCATGCGTTGCAGCTCCCATAGACACTAGCGCCCGACCGAGTTCCCTCTAGTGTATACATAGGAAACACTATTTCGAAGCGTCATTCTAATCACGAGTATTTTTATGCCAGCAATTAGACTACTAGGCTAGTTCAGTGTGCCCTTTTTGTTTGTACATCAGGGTTCTCTGGCTCAAGCAAAGCAATGTCAAAAAGACCTGATGTGGCGTCTATTGTTCAATGCTATTTTAATCTCGCTGGTATCTCATCCCTTCCCCCCACATCCCCCTTGTTGAAAAGCCGAATTTGGTTTGAGAAAAGGTGGCAACTCTATATCCACCGGAACTATGGTTCTTCTGGAAATAAGTCTGTATTGTATGGCATTTAAGAAATGTGAATGCTTTCTGAAGACCAGGCTAAAGGATTACTCTGAATTCAGAACTATTTTGAATGATTTCCCATCAGTATGGCTGCATAAACTGTACTTTAGCAGAACCGGCTGTTGGGCTAGTTGGCTATCCATGATCACTAAAAGAATAAGTGCTAAAAATCAACGAGCACTCACAAAAAGGGAGCAGACAGAGGACTTGCAATACTAACAGTTGTTTATTTTGCAAGTTGACAGAGTTCAGCATATTTGCATTACTTAACACCAGGCTTGCTCGAATAGTGCATTTTAGGTTCAAAGTAAATTTAAAGTGAATAGTGAGTTTTGTCAAATAATTTTGAACAAATTCAAATAGTATCTATCACATATACTAAAGAAAAGGCATATTTGTCATGATTTAACTAACCTGCACAATATTTCTCAAGAATTAAAATAAGCATGCGAAAACCCCATTTTTTTTTCCTTTTCAAAGGAAGTGGAAACGACTTTGAATAGTAGCAGGATTTGACTCTTCCGATAGAATGCAAGTGATCACCTGTAAAGTATGTTACGTTTTAAAATTTACTTTACTTGGAGCATATTAGCTGGTATGACAAGCTCTTGAACCTATAAAATGATTAATCGATGTGAGAGTAATATGTTTAACTTTGAAGTGGGGCATTGTAGCAGTGCGAAAACGCATCTTTTGAAGATGTGTTTTCACGGCTTAGCACGCCTTTGTTGCAGTGAAACAACCTTTACGTGGGGTTATATGCTAACTAATATACATTTAAGTAAATGCTTCCATGGCTTAACATTAAATCACTGTAAGGAAACCACCTTTACATGCTAACTAATATACACTTAAATGGACACTAAAGTCAAATGACAATTTACGTCGGAGTGAAAGTTCAATGTATGACAACATCTAAAACGGCAATATTATCAACAGCAGTGCCCTACTTACCGAGAAATTAAGGTAAATGCACAAGAATACATGTGCCGCAGTAGGACATTTTCAAAATGATACCAATAACGTCAGACGAACAGCCTACAGTTACTCACTAGTAATCAATCTAGCTGCACTAAATAAAAAACCTTCTGTGCATCAAGAGACGCAATAAAATGCTGCTTGTTCGTTTCTGTTTGATTCATGGAAAAATGAATTGCCGGATATTACTATAGAGAATGGCACGAGTGGCTCAAAAATTCCATTTTCGCGTAGTTGCACTGGACAGGTGGTGCCATCTAGCAAAACGCAGTTGAACCAAAACACGTCTGCCATCTCGGAGCTAATGGCAGTAAATTGATCAGTGGCCGTTGTTGCTGCTGTGACTCCCGCTGCTTTCATTCTGTGTACTAGTGTAGGCAACCGCACAGTAAAGCCAGGCAGTGTTGTGCATGCTAACAGTGAGTTGGTCCGCTTCTTGAGGCGGGTAATTTGAAGTGCGCTCACCCGATGTGGGCCACTAAAACGTGATTTTATTTTAAAAAGAAGCCCTTCCTTGGTACAAAAGTAACACTACGAGGTTTCTGGACCGCTATTTCAACAATCAACGTTGACTTAATAGTTGCCTTTAGTGTCCCTGTAAATAAATGCTTTCACGGGTTAGAAACAATCTACTGCAGGGAAACCATCTTTACAGGGGGTTACAGTGGACTAATACACATTCAGTTGTTCATTTCGAATACTACCTTGAAATTTTTGATAACTTAAACTAGAGTTTAAATTTGAATACTGTAATATTCATTCAAACCATTTGAATATTTGCACAAGCCTACTTAAAAGCAATGCACAGGGCTTTACTTTCTTGCTTCTCTGCTTTTGCAAACATGTTAAGTGCTCATGGATTGAAACGAGACAACAAAACTTTTAAAGGGATACTGAACAAAATTTTTGCCGCCAATATTTTTAGTCAAATCGATAGATTGGATCCTGAAATCAATAAAGACAACCTTCATTCCAAGCATAAACTGTGGGAAAATAATGAATTTAATGTGTTTTTCACAAACTGTCGTGTCTAGCGGCAGCACTGTGAATTAAAGGATGTGACGTTGTGCGACCTCACATTCACCGGAAACTGGCAAGCCAACAATGCCAGCCATCGCCTGCGTCTCTCGACTCACTCATCTTCCATTTCGGTTCCCAGAACCGGCATGAACAGCAACAACAGCAAATAATTCTTCCGGCTGGGGCAAAGCGCCAGCGCTTTTGTGGAAGGGAAAAAGTGGAGTGAAGGGACAGCTGGAGAAAAGGAAGAGGAGGACAAGAACGCATGCATCTTGCATGCGCCTCGGTGAGTTTGACGGAGTGCGAGCAGTCGCATGTGCTCACAATCCATCAAAAATACAACCAACCGTTCAAAAATACGGGAAACCAACTCCGTTTATCGAAACAGTGGCATCATCCGTTTGGAATTTCAAAGTTTCATCAGTTTTTCTAATTTTTGTTCAGTATCCCTTAAATATAGTGATTGGTATGCAATGTGCAGTATCCCTTAAATATAGTGATTGGTATGCAATGTGCCATATTTGTATGATTTTAGTGTGCACATTTTAGGTGAATGTAGCCCTCATATATGCGTGCGAATGATAATATAGCTCAAAAGCCAAGTTGGCATCAAGTTTTTTTTTATTTTTGTAACGTAAACTTATCTGCACTCTACTATAAGGGGCACGTTAGAATCTTGCAGATATGATGTCACATTGCTACGTTCCTGGCTGCTAAAAGTAATGTTCTGATGTGAATGTTCGAGTCGAAGTTATGCCTACATGACATGAGCTGAAGGCAGTAACGAAAGGATGCACATTACTTTAACCTAATTCGTTGCATTTTACTGTGTGAGCTCTGTACTCGTAACATAGTAAAGCAATTGCTATGTTGTCGATGACATCTCGAAGTAGTTGTTAAAATATTTACAAGATCCTTCTGGGCTGTCTGATTGTGAAAGTAGCTTACAAGTACATGTGTTAAATGTATATCAACCCAGTTTATCCTTGTGTTAAACAGACCGTGAATGCTATATATTCGATGTCACCTCAAAGATGTGAAGTGTGAGCGTAATGAATAATCGAAATGGGTTTCTTTTAATATTTGTACCCGATTAGATCGCATTATAAATTTTACTATTTGCACACCCCCACTAACAAGTAGTTGTTGCTTTGTATACACACATTAACGCTGGTTTGTAGCCCATGTCAGAGAATCGTAATGTCCTAAACCTTATCGTCGGACAAAACTCATGTTAGTTTCGGAGTACAGAAGCTGTAAATAAAGCATGTCCATCTATTTATTTTGAACTGCACATCTTTATTTTTGCTGAAGAATCTATGCTTGGAGTGACTCCCCGAACGGCATTGTTATCGTGTTCGCGATAACAGCTCTGCCGCTTTAGCAGTGTAACGAAATTTCAAGAAGTTGATATTTCGTCACCGATTGCCTGGCTCGTGTGAAATGTCCAGTGTCCAAAGATTCGCAGAACGTGGTTCGTGTCATCAATTATGTCATGTAATTGTGGCTAACGTATCCTTGCTTTTGCGCTTCAATGGTGCATACGCTCTGCACCCAAACGCCTTTAAGGTTCAGTTTTTGGGAGGTCTCTTCTATGGTTGTCAGTTCTTTCTGTTTATCGTTGTTTTGTCGTGTGCATATCGCTTTCTTACTTACGATTACAGTTAGCCTTGCAAGTTTTAGGTGCATCTTGGAGGCTTGATTCGTGCGGCTTGAATAGAGGATTTTCGTTGCGTAATTTGTCTCGGCCTCGTCATTTAGATGAGTTCGTCCAGAGACAGTCAGCGTGAGACATTCGGTAGGTTTGGACGGTTTGACATTGAGGCTACTGTTGTGCTAGAATGAAGTTGTGGTAGCCAACATGGCCCCTCTGGATTTGACCTGCCAGTTCACATGCGGTTTGATATTCATTAGGAGTTTTCATTCAAGTGCAACTGGTTGTATTTATCTACCGGCGTCGGAAAATCATGTCACTCATGTCTTATCATTGTTAGATAATGCAAAGAATTTCCGTAGTACCAATAAATTCGAATAGACTTGCGTTTACTCTTTTGCCATGGCAACTGTGCTGAATAATTTCTCCCGTAGTCAGGCGATTACCATTTGTAAATGGCTAGTGGTGTCTAACATAAATGATTATAACAAAACACTACAGTGCCCTGCTTTAATAGAATTTTTGTTGTGGTTCTTGCAATTATTGTGTGACTAGTAGGACGTATTGTGTGTTATAAAAATACTGCGTAGAATTATTTTGGAAAATGTTCTTTTAAACATATATTGCACCGTAATCGTGCCCTGTTAACGTGATGCATACAGAGAGCAGAAAATGATTCATGGCTTCATTATACTTTTGTGTACACAATTGCCTGTTTATGAAATTGAAATGCAATGTGGCAATTAATCAGTTGTAATGAATCAAATCTCAAACATGTCTCGTGAATATGAAAATTTGAAAAATGCAAGCTTATGGATAATAAATACAATGAAGGCTTTTATGCCGCATGCGACTTCATTACATGTAAATGAGGTCGGACTGGGTGGGCTACTTGCGAGGTTTGATCTGTTTCAGGCACCCTAATGTTCTGGATTGCATTGCCTTCAGTGTGGAACTTTTGTGGATTTTTGTTGCAACTTGCATTTGGCATAATTCAGGGCTCTTTCGATCAGAGCTGTGTATTGTGGTGCAGAGCAAACGCCATTACCGTTAGACTATCAAAGGTGCATAAGAGAACGGCAGAGTTCAAAGGATTCACAATCATGGAACCTCTGGAAACGCTAAAAGCAAAGGTCCACGTTTTGGGGCAGTCTGTCTAGAAAGAGTGGCCTGTTAAACAGTGGTTGAAATTCAAAGTTTTGAACTCCTCTGGCATTGTGGTTCTTTTTTTATTTTCAAAACCTTAAGTGTAGTACAAAAGGGAAAGTTTGCGAAACATGACAGATGTTGGCAAATGCATAGGAATATTTTGACTATTGTTCTTATAGTACTGTATTTCGAGATAATGGAACAAGACCATGTGAAAAAAAAAGCACTTTTTTTTTTATACTCAGATTTATTTCAGTCTGTGTAGCCTAGTATAAAGTAAACATTTCAGTACTGCTGATGTGTTGTGGCTTGAGAGCACATTTTTTAAGTTGTTGAAGCTGTTGGAACACTGTTCTGATTCCGCATTCAGACCAGTAATGCTAAGACAGTCCTTAATTTTGGTGTCTTTTAATGTTGCATGGATAGCAGCTCTTTTTTTTTTGCTGCTTTTTTTTGTTGTCTCATGTGATTCCTCTTAATTACTTGAGAACTGATGCACCTGGCATGAAATACCTTGAAAGTATTGGTGACTTGCTTACTATGGTTGTCAACTTAACTTTGTTGTAACATTGCTATTTTTGTGCAGTTCATGTTAAATACCTTTACATGTGGTGTAGCACTTCAGCGTACAGGCTCTGATTCTGTAATGTGGCTGTAATTAGCGCTGTAAGCAGTTTACATAGTGTAAGTGAACATGTGCAATTTTATTAATTTTTTTTAAATGTTGCATATATTGGTTTTACTACTTTGAAACTTCTTTCTCTTGTCCATGAGTGCTTGTGTTAACCACTGTTATCTGAGCATCAATTAAAAAAAGCTGTCTCATCAAAACATGAATCGAGATGTTTGTCACATTTGTAACAGTTCAAAACGAACACTCCTGCACACTGATGTGCAAACGATAAGCCATTCTGTACAAAAGTTGGCGTCATAAGCGCCTGCATCTTCTAAATCCATCGCAGCACACATTTTGGTCTCATGGCACCTGACGCATAGTTGGCTCGTATTTCAAACATACCTTCCTGTACAGTAAAATTGCTGGTTGTGCCGACTTGGCTGTGCTGCCTTGATGTGTTTGCATTTTTGTTCATTTCTCTCATGGGAGTTTTATGTTGCTGGGAACAGGCACATTTCCCTATGCCCCACATTGGGAGTTGCTATACTCCTTAGAAGCAAGGGATACGTTTTCGTTATAAGCTGCTTTTTCAGTGACACGAAATGCTTCTCGCTGTGGATGCAGTGGTGAAAAACGCATAATGATTGTAAGAGTGCCCTTTCTCTTTAGCAGACAAAAAGGCTCTACAACTGTTTTTTTTTGTGTGTGTGTGGCACTGAGAAAATTATGTTGGGAAGCTGTTCAGATGTTATACAATCATGACAAGATATATATCACAAAGCAGTGAAGTTAGAAACCCTTCATGGTAATCAACAACTGTAGTTGTGTAACTTCATTTTGTAGGTACGTGAAATAACCGTAGCAGTTTCGGACTGCTGAGCTATAGCATCTGTAAATGATGCAGCCCGAAGAAGAATAGAAAAACAGAAGGAAGTGGGGAGAGAGAGCGACGGTAAATAGGTTCTCTCTCTATTGTTTTTCTTCTTACCAGTTAATAATTCATTGTCTTCTCATCAAAGCCTTGATAAAACTGAAGTCTGTGTAGAGATCCTGTTGATGTGCACATGTTATAATTTTGTGGTCCGTGGCTTTACGTCTGAATATGATTCCTAACTCGCTTGTGTTGCCTCTACCACATGCAATTTATGAAGAATTGTTTTTTCAAAGTTGACACCGAAGGCGTTTGTTTGCCTAAAGGCTCGGGCTTTGACACCATACATAATGTACTCTCGCGTGTCATCGTCCTTGCAGATTTCTCCTCAGACAGTGCTAAAACTTATACCCAGTTTATCATTCTGACTGCTGCTACGATGTTTGTACTTTCCTAGCAACAAGTGTGCATGGAATTGTCTCAGAACTTTTGTCCTATGATGTCGCTTTTGCAATACGCCCACATGTCTGTAAAGCCATACTGTAGTTTATATATTTTGTCCGTGTTGTAGTGCCTAGTTTACAGGGGGGCTGTCTTATATGCGTTATCCCATGGTGTGTGTCTTCGAGACTTGAATACTTGATTTCTTTTGTGTATGACCTTACGCACTCATTATGTCTGCTCCAGGCTCTCAAAAAAGGATTGTATCATTCATGTAACAGGGAAGAAAATCATCATTACTCCGAAACACAGCAGCCATTTGTTCACACTCTGCTGTACAAAAGACATTAAAGATACTTTATTCATTCTGTAAGTATGGTACCTTCTGCACCAGATGGTCAACGTTTGTTTCAGGACTAATACGTTTTGCCAAGCTGGTTGACGGATGAAAATTTTCTGAAACCATTGTGCTGCAAACAACAACAGAAGCAACATGCACAGATGAAAAAAATAATAATAATAAACTTCGTTTATTAACCAGGTGCAGGAAGCTACCTTATTGTGAAAAATTCAGTGTTCAATCATGATGTAGACAAGACACGGACGCTGTTGCTGCGCTGCGCTTGCATTTACAAAGTGAGTCGCTCTTCAGTGAAGCGGAAAGAATCAATCAGCAAGCACATGAGTAAGAAACTGATTGAAGAGTGTCGAGGTATTGATGTGTGCAGTGATGTAAATCTGAAAAAAAAAAAAAAAAAAGTCGCCAGGTTCAGCGCTGCAGTGTGGTGGTGTCTGTTGTTTGACGTAATTGTGTGCCGATATTTTTTCTATGAACCAACAAGCCGCATCCATTTTAGGCTGTGCAAGATATGTAAAGGTGCAGCCAAGGTTGGTGCAGCTATAGAGACGTGCACTCGAATTACAAAAACGTTGTTTTTACCGCGTTTTCTTACATTCCTCAATGTTCAAACCTGCGCGCTCGAATAAAAAAAAAACGCCAGCAGGGCGCATTTTCTGGCAACGCAAAGCGAAACTACGTAAAAGCCGTGCTACGTGCAAGTCATGGTCTTCGAACTTTTTGTGAGCTTCCATACGGTCCAAGCGCAAATAGGATGACGGAATATTCTAGGATATTACGTATTAAACCACCGTAATGTCTGACCGCCAGGTGGCTCAGCTTGTTGCTACCGGAAAAACGTTGCCGGAAAAGACCGGAAGTGAAAGCTTCGGTCGGCTTCATTTGGCTTCGTTTTATTTGCGCTGTTTTTCTGCTTGGGTCGTGGTCGACGGCGAACCAAGTTCAGCGTCGCTCCTCTTGTGGATATGCCGATAACCGTTCGAGTCGGACGTGTTGCGTGAATACACCGCCTCATGATACACCGCCAGTCATGTCCTATTTACATTTCCTGGCATTTCCTCTCCCGGGAAATGACGACCAACTGAACGAAAGGTGTGTTACGGCCGAAATCTGGCGCGGTGTGCTTGGGGGAAGTTAGGCTTAAATCTATTACGCTTGTTCGTTTCGCATCTGTGAACTACCGCAGGCACTGAATGAAATCTGACAACGCCACTAACGTGTGACACCCACTTTGCGAAGGAGTTGAAAATTCTGCCGAACCTCGCGTTGTGGCTATTTCTCACAGATGTAGCCGTTTCCTTCTTGTGTGACCATGGTCTTGAGCAATGGGGTGTTTGCTCTAGTTTTCAACTTCCAACTCTGCGATTCCAGTTGTGTTCTATCTTTCCCCGCGCCTTCGCGGGAGCGTTGCATAAGGGTGTCATGTACATTTCGAATCTGTGAAGGCACAATGTTCATCGATCATTAACTCCGAAATAGACTGGGAAAAGCGAAAGAACCTGTTGACGCAGCTCAATGTCTTGAAAAATGTTATGTCGTTTTATAGCCGAGCTTGTGTTTTCAGTTTAGTTTAGCCAGTCAAAACCCACGATTACTTAATTGATCTGCGTATAGGAAACGCATCGCGTCGCTTTTATAACGTGCGTGGCTGAATTGTGTAACCTCCTCGCATCGGCGTTGCGAATTTCGGTGACCGAGACCAGATCAGAGATTTTTTCTATATAGATTGCGTTGTGAACTGACACGTCAAATCACTCATGTTTTACTTACATCTTCTTGGCCCGTTAGGATGTGTAACACTCCACAGCTGTAGCCGACCTAACAATTTGTGAGATCTTCGACTGTACAGGCATCGAAGGCGCACGCCGAACTTGTTTTTTGAAACAGCGACTACTTCGTGACGATAATTCGAAGTCGCCGTGTAAATACGTATCAGAAAGCCCTTGTCCCCAAGTGCTTCGTCTCTCGCAGTCGACGGCAGACGTTCAATCTCTGTGCGTTCTTAAAGTTTATGCCTTCCTTTTATTTGCTTGTAGAAGTCCACATCGCCAAGAATGACTTATATCGAGCGTGTTGCTTCATTTCGTCATTACATTTATTTCCAGGTTGAGGGAAGTTGGCGAAAAGCTGCGCACTGGATATTCACCTCCGGCTGTTGTTAACAACTTCAGAAATTCCAATGTTATCCAATGTGTTGTTGGACCATCGCACATTGCCTTTCTCTTTGAGGTGAGGCCCTTGCTTGCTATACTTCTTGAATGCACACTTATTACGTGAAAATGTGTAGGTAAACATGTGAGAACATTCTTGTGCCTCGTTAGCATTGCTTGACCAACTTGTACCGTAGGTAATAAGTATGTGGCAGAAGCGTAGAGGAGGCTTACAGGTGCACGCCGCTGCACACTGGCAACTGAGTCGTTATTAGGAAGTGAAGGGCATAAATGAAAACTCGAACTTTTCTTGTTCTTTTTCTTTTCTGCTACTATTCAAAATTTGTAAAAACTTGACCAATTTTCTACTTTGCTTTGTTGACGCATGTTCTGTGACCATTTTGAGTCAGTCACCTGGAGATTGATTGTTTTCTTTACAGGATGGCAAAATATGCAGGGTTGCATTTTCCGTTCTCACAGACCGGCTGGACTTGAGTAAAGCTGAAATGTCAAAAGTGTGAGTATGCATTGATTATTTGGTTGTATGGTGCCATGTTTACAAAATGGCCAGTCCGAACAGGTGGTGTGAAAAAACTGCCCTTTCATGTTGAAACCGGTGCTGATGCAGAAACATTCACTCGTCGTTTTCTTGCGCATATGAATGGCCAAGCCCTCAATAGCCTAGAAAATGTACTACTAATTGTGAATGCACACTGAAACAGTAATTGCAGTATAATTTTAAAAGCTAGTTAGGTTCCTACTGTACCCTGACGTCAAAACACATTGAGGTCTTTATTGCGGGCTTGCGCAAGATATCTGACTTTCAATGGCCACTCCGTGCCAAGGCTCCAGGTGGGTGGTGCACAGGCGGCCATTTTTGAAGTTTTAATACCTGACTTCATCACAACCAGCCACATTGTTGCATGAAGTCACCATGATTAGTACTGTAGCATGATGTCAAGCTAGTGTCATGTCGGTAGCTGAAAGTTGACTTCACTATCGCAATAAAACATTGGAATTTGCGGAGGGTTCACACTTGGAGTTGTCACTGTATACAAGAAGTTCATCTAGCAGAGCAAACTAGCCTGCAAAAAATTATTTCCAGGGAATGCAGGTGCGAAACCCAGCATTCATATTGGCAAGTATGTTCTATGACGGCCTGCACCAGGTGAAACCAAACTTGCGGGTTCTGGTGCCAGAAGGACGGAATACGCAATTGCACTGCCGAGACGTCCTGCAGACATGAGGCTTGTTCAGTTGAGGGTGTGTTTGGATCAGTCATTGTCATCGCCCTAGGTCACCACTTGTATGCTTACACTACAGGAGTGAAGAAAAGAAGTGCCTGATCAACAATTGACGGCAGCAGGGAATGCGAGCCTTGGCCTCACGTGCCACTTCCAAGCTCAGTCTTTATTTTTCTCCGTTTGCGGCCGCGTGCTCGCTGCATTGCGTGTTGCCCAAACGAGGGCACTACAATGCATTAACTTTGGCGATCTGTAATGCAGTATGGAAATGTCATTACGTGGTGATTGTTCGCATCACTCGTGTTCACGTTGATGCCTCCTACAGTCTGTTTTCGTGTTTGATCAGGCATCTAAGGCTATCGCCTCGAACAACCTCGAGGTCCAAAAATTCACCTCTTGCTATGTGAACATGCTGCCGCATCATGTTTGCGAGTTATTATTATAATAGGGAAGTTATAGGGGTTATTGATTGATTTGTGGGGATTAACGTCCCAAAACCACAATATGATTATGAGAGACACGCCGTAGTGAAGGGCTCCGGAAATTTCGACCACCTAAGGTTCTTTAACGTGCACCCAAATCTGAGTACACGGGCCTACAACATTTCCGCCTCCATCCGAAATGCAGCTGCCACAGCCGGGATTTGATCCCGCAACCTGCGGGTCAGCAGCAGAGTACCTTAGCCACTAGACCACCGTGGCGGGGCAGTTATAGGGGTTACGACATGCGTTTCAGCTGCTTTCAAATATTTGCGCGGCCTTGCCACCCTTCTCCGCCGTAGGGCGGGGAAGGCATAGCCCATCCTTATGACTACACCCACTTGGAAATGTGACATGACGTCAGCGATACGTCATTGACAGGCAACCAATGACTGAGCAGGGCATCCCCCTCCCTTGAGCACGTGTTGTGGCGCAGGGAGAAAGCGCGGCGCGAGGAGCACTTGTCCTCTAGCGATAAAGTAGCGACAAGCCTTTTTTTGCTATGGGAGGCTTTCGTTGTGGTAGTACCACTTCCCAGTAGTCTGAGGCTACAAAACCTCAGAGGGCAGTACAGGAAAATGAAAATGCGGACTACGTGGCCTAAACTACATCATGACAGGGCCAATTTGCTGTTTGTACGGCAAGGACCAATCGACGAGCTCAGTGGTACTTCGAGTTATCCATTGGCATGTTTGTGTCACTGCAAGAAGAGGGGCATTGGTGAGGTGTAGAAAATTTTATTTATTTATTAATTTTTTTAAAATGAATGGCTTGCGCAGCGCGAGGCATTGTAATGTTCGAAAAATGTGTTTGCGCCGATGTATTGTACAAATTGTTGTGCATGTTTGGGTGATGTAAAAAGAAATCTGAGCCTCTTTACTGGCTCTTCAATAATAACAAAAAAAAAAAACCTGCAGTCGTCAAGATACTCAAGCAGGCTCTTCCCATGCAGAATACTCTCCAGTGCGACTTCTCACCATCATTCCCGCCTCAACCTAAAGGGAAGTGGTGGAGCCGGTGGAGCGTCCGGGGGAGGCTCCGGGACGGCAGCCCCCTCCGGCTCTGCTTCCTCAGGAGCCTCTAACTCGAGGTCTGCCACCCGGTCACGAGGCCGCATCCTGCGTTCCACAGGAGGACGGGGC